TAATATATATTTTATTTATATATTATTATATATAAATTATATATAGTAATATATAAATAAGAAATATTTTAAATTTTATCTACACAAAAAATAATATAAAATATTTATATATAAATATTATTAAATATTTATTTAATCAAAAAAAATTTAATATTTAAAAATTAAAGTTATTTTATGCAGAAGAAATTTGATATTAATAATTACTTCCAATAATACTTTAAAAAAATAATTATAATACTTCAAGTATCCCTAATTTATCTAACCACACAGATAAATTACAGATGCCCCAGACATTAATTGATCACATTGGAAGAGTCTGATTCATATCAAAAATTGAGGTCTTCTCATTCCTACGTATCAATTCATACTGTGTGTAATAGAAAGAGATAGAAATAGGGAAAACGTCCCTGTAATTTAGAAACCATTGCATAATCGTTTTCCAACCATCTGCCGATCACTTTGGAACGGTTTTAATGGCCTCGGATTATTGACATAGGTAAGGTGAGAAACACACACGCAGAGACTTATACTCTCTTCACTGCTAATAAATTACTAACAGAATATTATGACACGATTATGACCGATATCCATCTTACTGTAAAATCTAATAAATCTGTTATCTCTTTTGGGGATACGCAAATACAACATGAAATATTCTCAAATTGACTGCAACCGAAATTGTAAATGGGTAGAAGAGAGTCATCTTTTCTTTCACTATCCTCGAGTTTTCGACAAAATTATTATTAAAAAAAAAAAAAAAAAATAAAAATAAATGAATTATTTAATTCCTAATCCGATTTATTTTTTTTCTAAAATGTGTCGAACACAAAGTTTGTTTATTATCTTTAAGATAAATGATGTCACTTAACACTAGATATAACAGACCAGTCATTTTGACTAGTCGAGCCAATTTTAATTCAAAATTTCTAACTTCATGTAACATTTGAATTCTGTAAATAATTAAGCATTTTGTTATTTAAAAATATCTATAAATCTATTTATCTATTAAACTTATTATTGTTAAACATATTTTATTATTTTATAAAAGTAAATAAAAACTGGATGCCTCAAAAAGCATTTTTTTTTTTTTTATACACCAATCATTTTGACTAGTGTGGTAGAAATAAATATATTGAAAATGGTGATATATCTAGTGTTAAAAAAAATGCTAAACCCATGATTGAACTTTCCTATAACTAAATATATAATCTTATACAAAGTAGAGTTAATATATAAAGATAGTTTAATATATGTTTTACACGTATGTGTGTATGTATGATGTGTATACAAAACATAGAATAAAAGAAAAAGAAAAAATACAAAATATCCAAATCGTTGAAAGCATTTCTATTTTATCCCGCAATTCGAACGGTGATGTTTTCTTTTTTTTTCTTTTTTTAAACACGTATGAGTTACCCTTTTGGAATGAAATGGAAAATGAAAAGAAAAAAAAAAGAACAAATCTACCGACAAACGGATCCCCTTCTTCTTGTGGGTTCAACTTGTATATATATATATATGTATATATATGTAACACGAATAAATGAAAGAGTGTTATGTGTGTTTTTTTAAGAAACACTCCCTATATATCCGCTTCTTCTTCTTCCCTTGCTGGAATATACAACAAGAAGAAAGACACGATGGGTTCGCATATAGAAAAAGGTAAATAATCAATTTTTTGTTCTCCCCTCTCCCCCCCCTAACCCGCCCCTTTCTGTTCGAATGTCGAGGACATTAGGCATAAGCGTCAATCGTGTGTGCTTCTGTTGTGTCCCTTTTTTTTTTCTTTTCTTTTTTAAACACAAGTCAATCAGATCCATATCAATTCGTTCACAGTGACGACGATCATCATTTGTATATCTCGTTTGAAAACAACCATTTTTTTTTTTTTTCTTTTTTACAAAGTAAGATTATTTTATAAATAGATCGAGTAAAAAATGTTTGGTTCGATTAAATTCTTATATAAGTGTAAAAAATGTTTTGATAATATTTCTATTATAAAAATAATAATAATTATCTTATAATAAAAACAAAAAAAAATTCAATTTTTTTGTTACCGACACAGTTTGTTTATTTACCGACGTTACTTCTATACAGAATTAATCAAAATGACCACTAGAGTGTGCCACCTACTTACACTCGCTTATAAATTCAGATTTTTCTTTCTTAATATTTGACAGGATATATAAAAACTTTGAAATAAAATCATGACTTATGTTTAAATAAGAAAAATTAAACGAAATTCTTAAATTGAAAACTTTGATTTATAAATCAAAACTTTTATGTATTTCTTATTAATGTAAATAAATCGATATCATTCCTTTGAATAATCTTATTATTAAAAATTTTATCAATTACTCATTTCTTAAAAAACTAAAAATACAATAAGAATAAACACAAATTAATATAGAATATTAATTCAACAATATAAATATAAGTGTTAATAAAACCTTAAAAAAATTAGGGTGACGATTGTGGACCAGCGAAGTACGTAGCACCGATACATTGCGGCGAATAACCAATAGTTTTGATTTATAACCATTTAAGCGCGTTTATCGTGATCGACGCGACACCTGTCGGACATTCTCGGTACTAATACATTTACGCGGGTAATTTTGTATTAGCTAATTAAATAAAACTACTAAGCTACCATTTCAATCTTATCTATTATCTTCAAGTTGGAAACTCTTAAATTTTGAACAAATGATAAATAAATTAATAATAAAAGTAAATAGAAGAATAAATTAATAATAAATAAAAGGAATATACAATTTTACCTGAAAGATAAGCATGAAGGCAACCCATTGATAATACTTGACTCTCTGCTTTTGATCGTTGTTGAAATGATGATAATTTTTATCCTGATAACGTGCTTGTAAAATGCCAAAAGACGAAGCGACACCTGGAAAGGCAACATTTGTTCCTGCGACACCGAGCATAGCACCAGTCATGAAATAAGTACTGTGTATCCAACAATACGCATTGAAGGCTTCTACTGGTATGTCTCTGTGTTTCGAATGAGATAAATAAATCAAAATGAAGACAAATAATAAACTAACGAGCGAACGAACATAGCAAGGTGATTCAAAACAACAATAAGAAACACGTTATGAAATATATAAACGTTGTACGACTAACGAACTAGAATAAATATAGAAATGAAATGGATACTTTTGATAACTAAGAGAACCGTTGTGATCTCGTTAAAATTTCTCACCTTACTTTAGTTCAACCTCGTTAATTAGCCATCGTTACGGACAATTAATTGAAAATATATCTCTCGATAATAACAGTGGTAATACCTCGTATGTACACATTCTATTGGATTTCCCACGGTTTGTTTGCTGCTAATAATTACGGAGAATAACAGCATCAAGATCGTTGTTAACGCATGCAACCTGAAGACGAGGCCATCACTTCTTACTCTGGACACCTGAGGAATATAACAACATACAACCACGATCACCACGTGTTCTTAAAAGTAGAAACACGCCAGCTAGCCAGCCAGCCAAAGTGCGTTTATGCAATTAATTTAACCATACAATTTTACAAACTCATTCGTACACACCTATACACTCTGAAAACATCTACATCCAGATGCATTTTTATCTTATTTCTTGATATACACACTGAAGCACGGCACTTGTCCAGAGCTAATTTTGTCTTAGCACGAGGCAGCTTTGAGGAACGATACCGCAGGCAGAGACATGCTTTACAAGTTTGTAAACGTTGCTAAAGGTATAGGAAACGAGAAATATCAAAGCAAATTGCTTACATTAAAGCTTCAAACTTAGCCGGTTCGCGTGTCGGTACCGTTAACGATATTAAATCTTTCCTCTTTAAAGTTGCGTGCAATGTTTCTCCAGTAATAGAGTAGAAAGAGGAAGAGGAACGGACAAATATTTTTCATACCTATTTATAAATAATCACTATAGTTCTACATTTCATGTTACGTTAAACGACGGCTCGTTAACATGCATTTTAACGTATTTTATATTACATTTAAAATAAGATTAGGCAAGATAACGCTAAGTTTACACGCTAATTCAATGTTGACACACCTTGTTAGTAAAGATTAAGATCAGTTTACGAGAGACATATCATTCGTTCTCGAGTATACTTTCAACTTTCAAAATTGTTTCATTTGTTTATTTTGTATTATTTCGTTATAGAAAATTAGAAAACAATTAAACAACATAACACATATTTCTTTTATCATTTGATTAAATATAAATGAACATTTAACTGATGGAATAAGCAGAACTATAGCTTAGCTAGCTAAAATTATTAGCACAGAGTTTGGATTAACAAAGGCTAGAATTATTACACTATAATTTATTGCCATGCTCGCTCCAATTCGCGATTTTCTGTTGACGCTTTCAGGGGTTATTACTAGGAACGCATTAACGTTAAAGAAAACGCATCTTCTCGTACTATTTTTGGCACTTACTCGTAAAAGATAGTACAATTCTATAACAGCGTCTATCATTCTCACTTCTATTTTTTGTTATTACACTTTTGAAATTTATTTTCGTTAAAAAATATCATTAAATATCCAAATCCGATTGTTAATAAGGATGATTCTAGTTTGATGATAAATAACAACACTTTGACTTATCCAAATAGTAACATGGACAAGATCCAAATTATTGATCGTTAAGAAAATCTCGCGTTTCATTTCTATACGGGTTCATTCACCCCATACTTCCAATGTTCAATAGTAAAACTAAACTATCCAGCAAACAAAAATAATACATTTACGATCAGTTAAAAAAGATCAAAGGATTGCTAATGTATTTAGAAAATTCTCAACGCATAATTATTAAACTCATATCAATGAATAAAATCGATAATTTAAGATCGGTATATAATATTCAGCATCTATAATTTATAATCCGCATGATACAATTGTATTTAACATCACGTTGACGTTGGCCTTCGTTGTGCATACAATAAAACGCGAACACAAATAGCGCGACAACAGACGTCATGGAAAATAGATTGAATCGCGGACACCAAGGTGATAGAATCGATTACGGATTTCTAACAAATAACACTATAGGAACTAATCAATAAACGTAATCGAATGATACCACAATAACGTTGGTAGAAAATGATAGGACGGATGTTACTCGCCATCAGCGAGCTTACTGACTAATCCTAACTGTGCGCGGATTTCACCAAACTAACGTTGTGGTACCAGAGTTCGATGCCAAAACACTAATTCATGGGCTAGTCGTCACTCTTCACCCTCCTCGTGACGTCCTCTTCTCACTCTCCCTTCTCTTTCTTGTTTCTTTCATTCTACATATCATCTTTTTTTTTTCTCTCGTTTACTACTACTCTGTCCCGTCCTATTTGTATTTTTCTATTTTTTTTTCACGCCCTTCTTTATAGTTCTTCTACTTTTTTGTTTTTCTTTTTTTGTCTTCTTTTATCTCTAACTCAACGGGATCAAAAGCAACGACACGATATAATCGAAGAGACGGCATAACAAAACTTTTAAGAATCCGCCCACATGCGACTTCACAAAATATATAGAACGTCCCATTTCTTCAACAACGAAAAACGCTGGACGTTTCCAGTCACCAAAAGATAAACGTATTCCGTCTGCTCGCACGTTTTCCGACATTATTGATATACATGCTTGTCTCCTCTTCAATTTTACATATTTAAACGACTCTTCTTTTTTCATCTTTCTTTTTTTCTTCTTCTTCTTCTTCTTCTTCTATTCCCTCGTTGACGGATACCATTTGACTCTAATTCATGATGAATCCCAACGAGAATGATAGAAAATTAAAATAAGATTATATAGATTTAATTTGGAACATCAACTCATGATAAAGTAAAATAGCAAATAACTTTGAGATCATTATTTGAAAAGTAATATCTTTTATACAATCGTATGTTTTTTTTTTGTTTACTTATACAAAATAACTTTTGTTAAAGCTAATTTGTTGTCTTATGTACTACGAAGCTGCTTAAAGATCTACGACAGTTTATTGGAAGTCTTTTTTTTTAATAATAATAATAATAATAATAATAATAATTAATTATTACTATCGTTGTTATTGCTACTACAAAGTTTTTAATGCTGGAACACAAGTGGTCATTAAATTGTTTTATAAAAAAAAAAATTGGTCATCATAAATAAACGAAATCTTATTTTACGCGTAATTATGTCTCGCGTAGTTATTATAATAAATTAATTTTTCACGTAGATAAAAAAAAATAAGAAACATAAAATTATTTTATCTCAATTTTTTTTTTCTTACTCACAAATAAAAGACGCGTGTAAATTATTTATAAATATCATTGATTGTAAAAATGATTCAACGATATTTTTAATATTTCTAGGAATGAAATGAATAATTCGGTTTAAAATTACCGAAGATATGAAAATTAATCACAAATGGTTTTACATAATGTATATAGTACTACCACCACACACGCATTCATATATTTTTTTTCCAGCACACGAATGAACTTGTATGTTATCCAAAAAAAAAAAAAGATTATGAATATTAATAAAATAATAATTATACTACAAAAATGTTCTATGCTTTATGTAAATGCAATAGAAACGCACGAACATGTGGAACGTTTGCGAAGTACAAAAATTATTGATCTATAAATCATGAAATTAAAATGACCCATTCATCAGACTCAGACGCATATGTGTATATAAAAAAATAATTAGATGTTTATATGATTTTTACAATATGTAAATAATTTCCATAATTTTCTATACGTTACTCGTAAATATCGTACAGTAAATTATTATTTAAATCATATATATTCAATTATCAAAACGAAATGATATTTTTATCTTATAAACTAAAGTTTTTCCCCTATCACTAAAGTTCCAAAATTGTTATCAAAAATTATTATTGAGAATATATCCTTGTTTTTTTTTTTTTTATATATATCTTATAAATTATCTTACGATAATAATGTCATTGGCGTTTCCCCAAAAAAATTATTATCAAAAAATGGCGAAAGATATTTCATATATAGTTTTTTTATCTATAAAATTATCTTACGACGACTTATTAATGACACGTTTCAAAATTTTTATCAAAAATAATACAAAATATATAATTATTTTTATTTTTATTTTGTAGAATATATATATATATATATATATATA